CTGTCCAGTCTTAACACATAATCACAAATGGATTTACTACAGCAAATGGAGATGTAAACCTTTGCCATATCGCGTGGGAGAGCGCTTTACCCTTATCACAAACATAGCCTTCTTCCTACACCAAATCCACAAGAATCACCCCAAAATCAGGCCTGACAGAAAGCCAGTCAGCTGAGCCACATAGGAAAACCGAGCATCTATCTGCACAGCCATTAGGCACAAGGCGCTGCAGGAAACAGCCACGTCAGACAGTTAGCAAGCAAACATCGGTCATTATGAGAGCTGAGAGCAGCCAGAAGAATGCTCCCTCCCAAGCTTTTCTGGCTCAAGGTCACATCTGCTTTTGAAAATTGAAGCTTTTTTAGTGATGGTTTTTATTTAAGAATTTCTGAGGCATACAACTTTGAATATTTCTCATGGTATTTCTACTACAAGTCCGGCCTAGTCACACAACAAACACAACCATGATCATACCCTCTGTATTCATACCAGCATAAGCCATCTTAACCAAGCAACCACTGAACAAAGAAAATGAACACTATAACCCATTAAGACATCAAGCCATTATGACACTGGGTCCCTAAGTAATAAGGGTATTACTAAATTAATGCTGCAAAACAAAAATAATCTGTGCATTTAGATGTCCTGCTGTTTCATTTTGAAAGATTCCATAACTCAACACAAAAGCTTCCAACAGCTAACATGTTTTAATCTTGATGCCTTTGAAATCCAGGTTACCTCCCACATCTGCTAAAATCATGCCTGCAGACTTAGAGGGAAAAGGAAAAAACAACAATCTGGCAGCAAAGCCGTCTTCCATCTCCTTAAGAGGCTTGGAAAGGAGAGCTGAGACTCCAAAAAAAACCTGGCAGAAAGCTATGCTTCACGACTTGCTGAAACTGCTGCAGCTAGGACTATGAGAATGCATGTATTGTTCACATTATACTTGTTATTCTGCTTCTAAATACTTCAGCAGTGCTTCTGCATACCTCTGTCTGGGGCACTGAAGTCCTCATGGATGCCTTTGCCCTCTCCCTAAAATTGCACCTCTGTGAGATGGTACCCATCACCCACCTGTTACATCTAACTTCTTACTGTTTTCAGGACCAGAATTTCCCCTCAAAGAGATTAAGATAGGAAGAGTAATGGCAACTTTTGAACAGCTTATCCCTACAAATAAATTTTTGAAAGCATTTTTGACAACACTAGGAAACCTCCACATTCTTAAATGTCACATCCATCATAGTTGGCCTTGGCAGGAAGTTGTTAACCTTTTCTAATGCAGTGAAGGGCATGGTAGCAGTAGAAAAATCAAGATTCAGCTCCTGGTGTTCAAACTCTGAGTTGCACTAAGAACTTGATTCTATGGAAGTGGCTTAAAGAAACTACAAGATGAAGCTTCCTTTACAAAACAGCTATTCTCAAGGTGGACTGAAAGTGCGAGAAGACTATGCCATGTAAGGCTCTAAAGGAAAACAGAATTTGGAGGACTTACTGTCAAGCCACGGGGAGATTAAGTGAGGCAGGAACAGATGCAGTAAAAGCAGATGGCACGATCTCCTGAATAGCAAGACTGAGATGCAGCTGCACACCAAAGAAACAGCAAGCAGAGAACTAGAAGTAGCAAGGTATATAGCAACAGCAGAAAGCCACTGCACTCAGGACTGGTTATGGAGAGCCACAGATCACTGACAGCCAGCAAGACAAGGTCTTGCTGCATTTGATCCTCATCCTGAGACATCAGTTACATTAAGAGGCAACAATAATGCTTCTCACAATCTGAATACCCCTATTTCACCAGTGACTCCAGCGTAGAAGAGGTAGGTGCCCAGATTCCTCATGGCATAGAAACCAGCTACACTAAGATATTGAGAACAGCTCTCACTTATCTAACTAACCTGAACAACTTCACACTGCACGTTCCAGAAAAGTCCTATTACATTTGACAAGATGCATAGATGAGCTTTCATTTTAAAGCTAGTTACATTCAGGAACTACCTTCACTTGCCTCTGAGGGCTCTGCTCAGATCACACCAGCCACCTTGAATAGAGCTTCTGGAGACTAATGACAAGCTGTGATGGAGATGGAGAACTGGGGCACCTTTGTACAGCATTTTATAAAACCAGTCACTCCAATGTTGTTCATGGAACCACTATGACAGATGTCTGGTAATCTCTTAAGTAACAGTATCTTAAGCCTGCCCACACAGTTTTGCTGTTCATAGCACCATCAGTTTGAAAAACTACTTCAGAATAAAATCTCTGAAATTTTACCTGGGGAATATTAAATGAAGGTTTCCATTATAGATCTTGTCATACTGACTTAAGCAGTTCCCTACCTATCCCACTGTTCTGGTGATTTTATGTCACAGTATACAGTTCTTAAAGTCTGTTTTATCAACATTTTATTTAGTACCATATTTGCAATTAAATATATATACACATTGATCAAATGCAAATTAACCAAAGCACTCGACAAACCTGCTGTAAGGTCTTCAGACAGTGCCTGTTTGTTGTTTTTCTAATTAAACTCTGAAGTGCTATGGAAGTTAAAATGCCAGCTCAGTGGGAATTACATGAAATATATTTCAATTAAAATACTCATCTACACAATTCTCAATGGCCTCAGGTCCCAGAAGAATTCCACAGAAGCTGGACATCATAGCGTGCCCACGTAAGACAGCACAAACCAGCTGACACAGCTCCAGGAGTCACTCAAAGCAAAAATAATTACATTTTAGAGCCTTTTCTATGAAGAACTCCATACTTCTACTTGAGACTCCCAAGCCAACCATAGCAGAGAAGAAAACGTGGCTGCTACTGCCACGAATAAACAGTTCCAAACTTCTGTCATCTGCAGGTTTCTCCAGCAGACATTCTACAGAGGTTTTGTTGTTGTCTTCTTTGGTTGGTTGGTTTTTTGGTTTGTTTGGGCATTTTAGAAACCTTAATTATTCTATTAAAATATTAGGAGCCTAACGTTACTGGATAATTCACCACTAGAGCACCTTCAGAACATAACTCCTTATTTTTGGGTAGACTTCACTATCTATTTGCTAGTTCAAATTCATTAGCATGAGCTATATAAACCATGCTCAAATGTTGCAAACGAGCCTGTGGTGACTAAATGAAAATTCATTTTCCGTCACATAATAAGGAGAGAATTGGTATTTTCAGAGTTCTCAGTAAGAGGATGTGTTTACAATATACAAGACAAACTCAGCACATTAATGTGCACGTTAGCATACACAGAGTAAAGCATGAAACCAGATGAGGTTAGGTTGGGGATTAAACAAAAAAAAAAAAGAAGCAAAGCTGACTATATTAGGCAAAAACATTTTTAAGGGACATCATGATAAGACATGATTTGAGGAAAGGCAATGATAATTATTAAAAAGAAAAACATAATCACCATGCCAATGAGTGGTAAAAATTTAGTTTTGTTTTATGATTGCCACTGTATTACATTTCAGAATATCTGAGATATCTTAATCAGTTACTGTTTCTAATGAAGTCTAGTTCGCAGGACTAATTCTCTAGAAGACACTGTCAAAATGTCAAGGCTTATTACCCTTTCATTTGCCAGCCTTCTCAACAGCCTTCACAATTCTGTTTTCAAAGCAAAGGAAAACACATCTTCTGTGCCATGCACAAGAAATGATCATGCAAGTACTGGCAAAATGCAAACAGATCGAAGAGGCTGAGTTCTAAAACCAAAAAGCTGAGGTGTTTTCTATGCTATTTCACCACTGTTTTTACAAGAGAAAAGACGTGATGCCTTAACATCATGTCCAAGCTCCAGGTTTTGTTCACTATATCCTACCTACCTAACTGCCCTCTGTAGTTTCAATTAGACATCGTACTCTTCTTCACTTCCCCTCTTGATCATCGTGCCCCATTGCTAAGCGCTAGTTAACAGCTGCCACATTCACCCAACATTGGCTGCACTTCAGTGGTCATTCAAAGAATGAAACACAAAACATATGGTACAGAACCACACAGGACATAAAAGCACTTTTAAAAACCACTCAAATATGAAAGAAACAGCAGGATACACCCCTCAAAGTAAAATCCTTTCACCCCCTTAAATTTTCCTAAAAACACAGAAAATTATAGAGAAGTTCATCAAATCATGTTTAAGCTGTCACTAATAAGGGTTTCCAGAATATATTTTTGACATTATGCCAAGTCAACCTTTTCACTCAATGAACAGCCCAGCATTTGTAATGTGGTAGGCTTTGCAGTACAGAGATTTTTTCAGACTTCCCCTCAAAACCATTTCATTCCCTATTTCCTACAGCAACTAATTACTTTCCAAACTTTCTTCTTCCTTGTAACTATGAAATACTTGACATATGATTCATTGAACCATCAAATATCAATGCCAATAGGGATGCTTTGGAGAAGACCTTGAACCAACCTGCTTTATTGAATTCTAAACCAACTTTTCACACTGTGATGTCCTCGTGAGATCTTACAAAGCATCACGTATTGAACCAACTTACTAAAAGCTCAGTATTCAGGTTTCCTATTCCCTTTAATCTCACACCGTGGGCTTACGACCTGCTTTTCCAAAACATCATTGCTACTTGTTCTTGTTGCTACATCCCTACAGCCAAACGCAACTAAGAAAAAGTACCGGCAAGCACACACAGGGCTTTTATAACTAAACTTCCTCTGTTAAAGATCTCGGGCAAGATTTGTTTCACACAAACAGCTTTATTTTTCTTTGGTATGGCCAACCAGAGGGAAAAGCCAAACCCAGTGAAGCATCCAGTGTTTAACAGCACGGAGAGCTCTGAGCCGTCCTCGTCACACACACAGCTACATCCTGAACTGAAACAGGCACCTACTGGCTTCCCTCTCATCCACACAAAGGAAAACGTATGCTTCGTTTATTCCTAAGACGTCAAAAAATAAAGTCCGCTTTATTCTCCAAGGGCCTTTTATTGCAATCTTTAAAAAAAAAAAAAAAAAAAGCTCTTTATAACAAAGCATTGATGACACATGGAGAAACTGAAGTATCACTTCAGGACCAAAAACGTCACTCGGTGGCAAAGTCGCAAGCGTCAAAGGAAGCCAAACGCAGTCATACTTACAATGTCACATCTTCGGGGTGATTAAAGGAGAAATCCTACCCAGAAAAAGGAGCAGGGGGCATTTTATTGGCTCGGTAGGTCAGAAGCATTCTGCACTTTAAACGCATTTGCCCATCGATGATTGTTACACGGCAGCATGCGGGCAGCCCTGTGGCCTAACCACACGGCAACCAGCGGACAGAACCCGACGGCTTAAAGAAAGTTTTCACCTTTCAGACCCTTCAGAAAGGAACCAGGGAGCGTTTGGAAGGGCAAAGCCTCACTGTTTTCCAGCCGCTTCCGAGAGCGGGAGGCGCAGCTAATAAATCTGTCAGCTGCTTTCCAGCAGCGATATCTACTTAGGCCGTTTTGTTGTTGTTGTTTTTTTCTCCTCCTGCATTCAGGCCCTCGCAGTTCGGGACTACAGCCCAACTCCGCCGAGCGGTACCGTGCCCTCAGCCCCGCGCCGAGACGCGCCGGCCCGGCCCTCCCCTCCCCCCGCAGCACCCCGCGCCACAGCCGCGCCTCCCGCAGCGGGGGGAGCCCCCTGCCGGCTGCAGCCCGCGCGACAACGCCGCAAGCCGAGCTCCGCGCCCGCCGCCCTCCGCCGGAGCCACCTGCACCCCCCGCCCACCTCCGCCGGCTGCGCCGCACGGCGCTCCCAACGCCGTTCTCCCACGGACGCCGCTCGCGGTCCCCAGCCCGGAGCCCGCCCGGGGCAGCGCATCGGCGGCCGCCGGTGACAGCGACCGCGGAGCGAGCGGCGCCGAATTCCGCACCGCTACCTTTGTGCCCTCCCCGGGAAGCGGCGAGAACGCGAAGGGAGCCCCGAACCGCTGCCTTACCTCGCCGGGCAAGGAGAGCAGGAGTTGAACGCTTTCCTTCCGCCCCTCCCTCACTTTTTTTTTTTTTTTTCTTCTTTTTTTTCCCCCCCCCCCTCCCTAAAGCCGCCCCCTCGCTGCAAGAGGCGCCACTCGGCAGCCCCACTGCCGCCGTGTCCCTGCGGGTCTCCGTCTCTCTCGCTCTCCACCGGGAAGAGAGGAGGGGAGAGGAGGGAAAGGGAGGGAGGGAGGAGAAGGGGGCGGTCCCGCAGGTGCCGCCCCTCCTGCGCTGCTCTGACAGCGGGGACCGGGGGTCGGCGGAGACTGAGGTTCCTGGCTGTGCTCAGCGCAGAGCAGAGGAGCTGAGGGGAGGCCTGATGGCGGCTGCAGCTCCTCACAGGGAGCGGAGGGGCAGCGCTGAGCTCTGCTCTGTGTGACAGCGACGGGGCCCGAGGGAACGGCATGGAGCTGTGTCAGGGGAGGGCAGATGGGGGTCAGGGACAGCTGCTGCACCACAGGGCGGTGGGCATGGAACGGGCTGCCAAGGGCTGAGGGCACAGCCCCGAGTGCTGGAGTTCAAGGAGTGTCTGGGACCGTGCTCTCAGACATAGGGCTGGATTTTGGGTGGCCCTGTGTGGAGCCAGGGGTTGGACTTGATGGAGAAGGCAGAAGATGGCACTGGGCAGTGTGCAATTTCCTTTGTGAGAGGCGGTGGCTACCAGGCAGGAGTATGAGCACAGTTTATCATCAGAGGGGTCAGCTCGCATCTCGTTTTGGTGTTGGTTAGAGATCGAGCTAGCTCACAAGTGGTAAGGTAGGAACTGGAAGAGCTGAGTGAGCTGCAAGGGTGCCAGAAGCAGAACAGAAAAGGGCATCGTGAGCGTACTTGTGAGGAGATCAAACTGAACAGGGGCAGGGCAAGGCAGAGAGCTGAGAGTACCTGAGTATATTGAAGGCAATGGACAGAGAACGTTCTGGAACATTTCAAGCTGTAAGAGGTGACAGTCTTTGTGGAGAAACAGTGGGTTTGAACTCCCAGTGTGCATAAAGATGAAGGTCAGATTTAGTTGGAGCATGGGCAGGGGGCTGGAAATGCAGCAGGGCACTCTGAGGGTAAACAGCCATTGAAAATGGCAGAAAAACGATTTCACCTTTTCCTCCTTTTGCCTTTGAGTAAACTACCATGCAAGTCACCACCTCCTCTCTTTTTCATTTTCCCCTTTTCAGAGGGGAAAACCTTTCCTGAACCTTTTTTTTTCCCTCAGGACCATAAGCATTAAGAGCTTATGCAGCATCCCACCTTTATGGCACAACAGCTGAAGAAAAAGTAAATGTCACAGTAACAAAAGGAAGTGGTAGTTCTGTTTTTATTTGACAGCAGCTTGTTGACAGTGAGAGGGATAAGGTGTTCGGTACTTTTCTCACATCCTTTTCTTTTGTCTTTACTGGTTGAAATATTAAGTTCCAGTATTATAGCTTATAGCTAATGCTCTCATTACCACAAATGATGAGAATTTTACATCAAAAGGGAGTAGAGAAAAAAACTGTCCCTACTTCTCAGAGAAAGTAGAGATTGCTCAGGGATGGCATGGCACCTCTGCACATTCCAGCAACGGGTTTCTATCTAATAGATTATGTAGATGTCTGTGATTATTCAACAAGGTTAAACTTTTTATTTATTAATCACACTCTCTCTAATAGACGTTAAGGAGGCTTTTTTCACTATTGGTTCTGTTTTGTTTTACCTTGATTTGAGCACTGCTTTTTTACGCTGTGCTAATTTGTGGTTCCTTTCACTGATGAGGAACAGCTGGGGCTGTAGTAATGCATGCGCACATCTGTGTAGGTATGTTGGAGACCAAAGGTTGGGGCAAGTTGGTAGGCAATCTTTGAAACAAACATGCCAGGGAAAAGTCTTCACATGCAACAAATATATGCAAATGTACCTCACTGCTTCGTATGCACCCATGTGAGTATGTACTTCTGTATACATGTTTGTTTGTTTTTTTTCTGCCAGCTTCTTTGGCTACAACCGTAAGCCCCACGGCCTTCTTCCATATGCTCTCATGCTACAGTTCTCAGGAACAGGGTAGCTGTTAAGTAATGGACTGTTCACGTATTTGAATTGCTTAGAGCTATGCTTCAGCTGTGGGTTACTGAAGACGTGCCTCCATTAGCCCAATTTGATTTTTGTGTATTTGCAAAGTTGTTAAAATATGACCCTTCACAACAGATGGCTAAAACTTTAGCCATTGTGGAGTTCAAGAGAATCTGCTAAGTCAGATCAGGCTTTTAGGTCAAGTCCTAAAGCTTTGCAAATTTGCCTGTTCTAAATGGTACACTTAATTTTCTGGAAACTTGGAAGTTGATTGTTGCTAAAGAGTTTAGGCTGCTGTTCTAGCATGTTCACTTGTATGTTGTAGATGTCAACTATGCTTCAAAATATAAAAGAATTGAGCAATATCAGTGTCAGCCCTCCAACCTAATGTTGCCATGTTACCCTGGACAGATTTAAACAGTAATATAGTCATTACTTTAAAAAGCACAGGAGAAATTTGAAAGCATATCAAGGTGCTTGTAAAATACCTGCTATAGCATACTATCATTCTAACCTAGATGATTTAGTTATGCCTAAATCAATCCCTACTTAATTTTACTTTAATTTTACTTTGATTTTACTTTACTACTGCATGACTGAGAATCATTTTGGTTGCTTTAATGCAATAATTCTTTTTTATCTGCACTTCTTTTTTTAAAGGAAGAAACGTTCACTGTATGTTTTCTTCTGACTTTCCATTTTGTGTGTTAAAATTTACAGCTTGTAGAGTGGTTTCATCTGTGCCATCTGCATGCCATATTGTACATCAGATGGTGGGATAAAATCTGTAACAAGAACGTTTTGGGATGTTAAAGTCTTTCAGGATTTGAAGTAATGATATTCACAGCACGAATGTGTGGAGCCACTCATATAACTGAAATAGAAGACGCAGAATGCCAAAGCAGCTGCTGAGTGAAAGAGAGACCACACAGTTGGGGAAGCATACAAGCAGCGAGGACAAAAGAACGTTTGAGAGAACAAGAAAGTGCAACTTCAGGCACTGAGAAACTGGAGTCAATCAGTGGGAATTATTGACAAGCAGCCATGCGCCCACACAGAGATTAGAGTCTCGCTTTGGGATGCAATGTCAATTAATACTGATGTAAAGAGTCAGTATCAAAAAGGCACCTGGCTTAGCATTTTCTGATCCCTGACTAGGCAACTTTGTCATTTATTGTTGGGTTTTAGACATGTTCACAGTCACAAAGTAGGACGCCATTACCTGTACTAACTTCTGTTACAAAGGACTGCCTAAGAGCTATGACGTTACAGTTTGCATAAGTTTTGATAGGCCCCAATATAACTCCAGATGTTGATAGGTATACTTCAGTCTTGAGTCCTCACAATAGATTTCATTTTCCCCTGACTTTAAATATCTCTTCACTTTCCTTGTGATTTCCGGTTTAAAGAGCAGTAGGAATAAGATCCCCTTAGATGTAGTATGTTTAATACTGTGGCTAGTAGGAATTGCCAGTTCTCCCCTTAGATATGAGTGTAAAATTCTCAATAATTTTCAACAACTTTCAAACTTTTCAATATATTTTATTTTATTTTTAGTGAAAGTAGTCTGTTCATCTTAGATCATCCTCTGAATCAGAGCATGTATTTTATATGTCTCTTGCCTGTTATATTTGCTGATGACTCGACATTTCTAACTCCAGAAGTCAGGTTTCAAGAAATGAAACAAATACAAATAGCAACTCTGCTTTATTTTCTTGATATTCATGAGCTATGAATGTCATACGTACTGGAAGCAATAATTTTTTTCCTAGAAACATTAGTATGAAGGTTTTATTTGATCAAACCTACCAAACTGTTGATATTAAGCTTTATCTGAGAAAGGTGTTTGAATTCCACAGATCTGGTCTTGCAGTTGTTAAAAGCTAATAGCAAACTTTGCTTTGACTACCTTTGTTGGGGTCATAGCAAATCCTACTATCCTGACAGGTAATTCTGCATGAGCCTTCTAAGTAACTTTAATTTTTCTGCATGAATCACAATGGTCTTTTATGATTTAGTATACCTTTGTCTTTTATTATTGTCATGAATTATTCCTTCCCTGGGTGTGATACTGTAAAGTTCTGTTGGGTATGTTTAAAGTCGAGGCATTGATGAAATGGGCACAATCCAGATTAGCTATTCTCTGAAGAATGCTTCTTCTAAATGGACAAAACAGATGTTTAAGATGAAACAGAAGCAATGCTGAAGATGGGGAGCTAGAGTGTATAAAATTAAATGGGTTTACTGCAAAAAAACTCTGCCATTTAGGGCAGAGCTAGGAGCAGAATTCAAGTCTCTTGATGATCAGCCACTGCTTTAATTCCAATGTCATCATATCTAGGATTGAAAAGGGCTTTAAGGAACATCTAGTTTCAGCCCCCTGCCATGAGCAGGAGCACCTTCCACTAGACCAGGGTGCTCAAAGCCCCATTCATCCTGGCCTTGAACATTTCCAAGAATGGAACTCTCCTGGTAGTTTCACAGTAGCACATCACCAGTGGCACACAAAGACTTTTCTATTCCTTCCTGATTTTGATAGGATTTTGTAGAATGAGCACTTTCAGAGATAATCATTTCACAAAAAGAAGAAAGTGGTTACATAAAAGCCCTGAAGCTAATCACTAGAATGTCAGTCTCAGTGGGAATTACAGCCAACTTCTCATTTTTTTCAGAACTTTCTGTAAAATACTTGGTATTGCAATATCAACTCTTGTTTACAGGCTTACAACAGTACTCTTCTAGACACAGTAGGATGCTTTTTCCTTTTCTCAGAAGCATACCCCTAACAGCAAACCATCCCAGCAAAAGGTAAAAGGCATTATCCTGCCTAGATAACTAAGTTATTGTTTGAAAAGGAAGAACATTTTGTACCTGTGCTGTACAAGAGACTCTGTAACTATGCTTCTCTATATTGTTTATAAAATTCAACTTTGTTTCAGACAAGGCAATGTAAA